TAGTCGATAGTACCGCGACTGCGAGCTGACCAGAGGTGGCAATAGCAACATCGGACTAATGGCGGTACTTTGAGCGAGTGTTAATCTTAGCAGCGAAGTGTGGAGTACTGCGGAGCATAGCACTCATATTCTTCGACAGAAGATGCTGGCAGTAGGCAAGACCTCGTATGAGAGGCTCTCGAATGAGTAGTATAAGTCTAGTACGCCATCTGGGAGTAGCCTCCTTGGCCCTATGCACAGGTTGTAACCATCACTACCTAGACTCCAGAGCATGATCGATAGTTCTGAGATCAGTGATGCACCGTGCTACAGCTGCAGGTGGAGATGAAAAGAGCTTAGCCAGAGTCCACAGGACCTGATGACGATAGTAGTTGCAATTACCCGACCGATTCAGCAGATCGGACATTGAGGCTTTCCGTCCTCTTGGTGTCATTGTAAAGATGCTGATAGTAGTTATACACCTCTCTCGACCACATCCTCTTAGCCGTCTTATAGAAATCTTGTTTGTTACCACCGGCATATTTAAGTATATCAGAATTGAGTGATTCTTTATACGGGTCTAGGGGCTTCGTGAGGAGGCCTTCATCGCTCTCTACTTGCCATAACACTGATGCTTCTATTATCCGCCCTTGTGGTAAGGATACAGCTACATCCAGCTTCACCTCTCCCCGACTGGACCGAACGGCATCTTCCAGAGTCATACTCAGACCGTCACTGTTACTGACGACCTACAACAACATCTCCTATCAGAAACAGTAGTCATCAGTGATCACCTTTCGACCAGCTATGATCTCCTTAGGTGACCACCGAAGCTTTGGGAAGCTGTGAACCCACTGACGGAAGAACTCATATTCAGTCATGGCCCTGTCCCTTTGAGCCGCTCCTCCTGAAGATACCCTCGAGGTGAGCCTGGACGGCGACTGGGCCTCTCCGATGGATAGTATCCAATGCTTGTAGGTTGTACTCCACTGAGCTTCTACTGAGTGACGAGAGTCCAGGCAAGGAGCCTTACGGAGGACATGCTCGTTGAGGAGTCCTTCAGCCAATAGTCTCGATAACTGAGTATTCTAAGGCTGTTGAAAGTGGCAAGCCACATTTCATCATATCCCTACTTGTCGATACACGCGTGGTCCGTCATAGTCCACGAGCTTCCTGCCAGCATAGTCCCATTTACCAAGACCAGTTATAGATGTCAGAGATGCGTTCGGATGGAGGCCACACTTGAGTTCGAGGAAGTACACCCCTCGTACGAGTGAGTCACTTGAATGGGCCGACTCCGACGTAGCGGTGGTGGCCTGGAGATTCAGTACGTTAATGATAACGCGCTGGAGATGCCTGGTGAATATCCTTGCAGTGACCTCACTAGGCGAGTCTAGATACACCTGAGTGACCTAGGCTGACTGTGTAGATGATGATGTGATGAACTGACCTTCTCGAACACGTCAATGTCCCCCCAGTACTTGAATGCCAGGTACCTGTAGCTACCCACAGGGGCGGGCATTTCCTGGCCGATGGTGATGAGCTCCACGACTTCCTTCAAGGCTGGGGAGTATCTTCAGGTCGAGTGTGCTTCCTGTGGTCTAGATTGATACAGTACGATCTAGCATCTAGTGGGTGACTAAGCCTGGAGTCGGCCCTTAGTCCAGTATCCTCCTCCTTTATGCTCTCAACAAACATGCGACTGGCCATGCTGGTCTACAGCACCGAGGGTACGGGTCAGCTCAGGGGCATCTGCGAACTACCCTCTTCATCTGGGCGAACGCATCACGACTCGCTAGGGACGCCAGCTCCTCCTGTTTGCTGTTTTCGCTCCTTCCACTAAGAGGCTGCTGTGCTTGGGGGTCGCAAGGTGCACTACCACCACAGCCACCGGACTGAGAACACTCAAAGGGGGGCATTCGGGCAACTGTCAATAGAAGCCACTTGACAAACGTTGC